CAGCTCAAGTCGCTGAAGAGGCATCCTACCGTCATGACTCAGTGCCCCCGTTCGGTTTAGGGTTTTGGGTTTAGGGGTTTAGGGTTTAGGGTTTAGGGTTTGGGAAGAATCGGGGACTGAAACCCTAAGCCCTAAAAAGATCGGGTCCAGGGTTGGGAATTTTCCGGGGCATTTTTGTCAGATTTTGGGTCGTCGTGACTGAGCCAGCTGAGTTCCTACCGTCACCGAGTTAAAGAAACCCCTTGTGGAGCCAGGGGAGCTCTTTTCGTCATCTGACAGGGGGTTTAGGGTTTAGGGTTTAGGGTTTGGGGTTTGGGGTTTGTTTTAAGCTTTGGAAGGTTTGCAAACCAACAGCCCCACATCCAGAGCAGAGCTTGCACCCACTTCCAGCAGGTACGTCTCCGAAAGGGTGCCCCCAGCTCTGTTGCAGAGCCTCTTCAGCAAATCGCCAATTGAGGCATCCTCTCGGATTTGTGCATGGGGGTTTCAGAAAATAGGGGACCCTAATATAGTACCCCAAATAATAGGATCCTTCTTATAAGGACCCCAAAATAATGTACCCCTGTATTTTCGGAAACCCCCGCATGAAATGTTCGCTTGCAGGCTTGACCTGTTGGGCTAGGCAGGTCCAGTTCGAATTGGTCGCCTTGTCGGGGAAGGTTCCTTCTGGACAATTCGGTGTCTTATTTCCACCATGTATGGTTCCTTCTGGTTGTCTTCGGGTCTCTGCAGTCGAGAGGGTTTGAACGATATCAGCCGTGGATAGATTGGTAAGTCCGGCATAGGCAACGCATGAGACACTGTGCCATATGTATCCAACAACAGCTCATGTTTCTACGTCCATGTAATATGGGGGTCAATGACTGCCGCTAGTACTCCATGATAGTCCCGAATGTACTGATTGTAGTATCATATGCCCAAAACCCTATCCTGCTAACCTAAACCCTAAACCCTATCCTACTGCTGTCAGGGCATGTCAGGGCCCCATTTTGTTGAAACCTGATGAAAGCATTGCAAAACCAACCCTAGGAAAACCATGGTGAAACCCTATTCTGGTTACAAAGGCCTCAAGGGGATCTCGAGCTGCCTTTTGCGTGATTTTTCAGGTAATGCAGATGACCTCCTAACTTGTGGCACCATCTGTGTTGTTTGTGTCGCTAGTGTATATTCACTCAAGTCTGTTTGAAGTTCCCGCCGTCCAGACCCCGTCCTGTCTGAGGGCGATTTGGAGCATGCATCGCTGTCTCACTCTTTGCTAGCAATTGTCAAGTTTCTGTCTCGCAAAGGATGCTGGTCCATGACCCTAAACCCTAAACCCTCAGCCCTAAGCCCCTAAGCCAAGCCCTGAAGTCTGAAGCCAAGCCCTTCATACATTCGTGACAGGCAGACGATCTCGCCCTGGTACTGGAGTGCTTGAGGACCTTCTTGCTCCACGGTTTAGGGTTTAGGGTTTAGGGAGGTTTCAACTGCCAGTGGTACTGGCTATACGGGAAGATCTCTGAGCCCTAAGCGCGATTGGCTTAGTGGCATCATTTCAAGAAGTGTGCTGCTGCGCGTCCCTTTGTCGAGGATCGCAAAGCGCCTGAGCCCTACACCCAAGAGGCCCCAGACCCGCTGTATGTACGACGAAGACATGCCATGGATAGATAGACTGATACATAGAAAGATAGGAAGAAAGAAAGAGCGATAGATAGACAGACAGACAGACAGACAGACAGACAGACAGACAGACAGACAGACAGACAGACAGACAGATAGCTGGACAGATTGATGGAAAGATGCACATGTTCATAGATGGATAGATAGATAGCTAGATAGATAGACGGATAGACAGGTAGACAGATAGATAGTCAGATAGAAGATAGATCGATAGAAAGATAGATCTATACATAGGTAGATAGATAGATAGATAGATAGATAGATAGATAGGTACGTAAACAGTTAGATAGATCGATGGATGGATCGACAGATAGACAGATAGATAGTCACATAGTCATGTAGTTAGCAAGCAAGCAGGCGAACAAGCAGGCAAGCAGGCAAGCAAGCAACCACTTGAGGACCCCTAAACCCTAAACCCTAAACCCTAAAACCCTAAACCACTTGGGCACGCAAGCAAGCAAGCTAGCAAGCTAGATTGCTAGATCGCTGTACGGGTTGTTTGGTTGATACAATTAAATAGGCAGACAGTTAAATGCTGCGACATTTGTAGATGTCCATCGTGCGTGCACAGCTATATGCATATTTGTATGATGCATGCATCCTTTCAGGCATGGAAGGATGGATGTTTGTGTACGTACGCGTAAGTAGGTAAGTAGGCTCGGGAGATAGGTATGCACAGGCAGGTAGGTAGGTAGGTATGTAGGTAGGTATGTATGTCTGTGTCATGGACCTGTAGAACAAAAAATAAGTACAGAAGCGAAAGCCTCTCTACATGTACAGGTGTCTCATTATCCGTCTCTATCTCTTTGTTTATCCATCTCTGCAATGTACATCTTCAGGACCGCAGCTGTCGCCGAGGCTCCCATGCCGCCAGCGACGGTTGGAGAGTACCTGCAGCAGTTGCTCAGGCCGAGCGCAACTCCTGGCTTTTGGTGTCTCTTCTAGCAACCCTTACGGTAACCTTCATAATTTCGGTTTAGGGTTTAGGGTTCATAATACCCTTCGTCGTTTGCCTTTTTGTAACTCGTTTTTTCATGAAGCCCTGTAAATCCAGCCCGCTGCCCCCGAGGACGCATGCGGCCGAGACGCAGTTTTCCATGCTGAGCACCTCCGAAAAACAGGTGGTACCTAGGGTTGAGGGTTTTGGGCTCAGGAGTTTTGGATTTACGGTTTAGGGTTTAGGGTTGAGGGTTTTGGGCTCAGTCAGGCATTTTGGATTTAGGGGGTTTCGGGTGTGCGGCTTTGGGAGAAGGCTTCGGGGAGGTAGGAAGCTGGAAGCCAAAACGAGGGCTGATCCTTAAGCCCAGGTTGGGGCCCTATAAGCACTCTAAACTCGGTTTAGGGTTTAGGGTTTATCACTAAGCCCTAGACCCAAACCAGCCCCAAACGCTGAATTTTGATCCTGGAACCCTCGCTACCCGACACCGAGTTCGCCGCATTGTTCCCAGGCCGTACTGTTTGTCTTGAAGCCTGCGATTCACTGCACCGCCCTATGCCTTTTTAAAAAAATACTCGAAATACTTACAAGCCTTGTCCTGAAGGCACCTGTATTCGTTAAAGACCCATGGCCTGGCGATACTGTTAAGTTTGGAGCCTTGCACCCACGCTACTGGAGGTAGAGTTTAAACGGTTTAGGAGTGTGAATTTCTTAGTTTGGGCCGGGTTTTGGGTGTTTTTTTGGAATCAGGTGTTGGAGCTGTGAGATTGCGACAGACATCCTACATGCAAGTATCGTTTCCATCGGAAGTTAAGTAGCTTCGCAACTAGAACTAGAACAGGTAGACCCTAAACCCTAAACCCGCCTAGTTCAGAACAGAAGGACGAAGCACTGGTAAAGTGCGGGATCTCTTTCAAGCGGTCCCTGCAGCTCCAAAACATGAAACTACGAATTTAGAAGCCCGAAAAGTGGTAACAGTTATTCCTTAGGGTTCCTTGGCATAAATATACTAGAACCGAACATACCTCAAAACGCTATTCTGTCCATTTAAGCCCCAGTACTGCCCCCTGAACACCCATAATCCTGACCCCGAAGCCTTCAGTCCTCAAATCTGGGGATACTATAGGGGCCTTAAGAGTTACCTATCTTAGTTTTAGGGGCTCCTTATTATGATTATAGTATAATGGTCCCCAAAACCCTATTCTAATTATTAAGGCTCCTCTATTACTCCCTCCTCTCGCTAGATCGTGCGGGAGCTCATAACCCTCGCGCGCTGGCCTCGGGTATCGACTGCTCCCATCTCTGACACAGGGCACACGTTGGGCTATAGGGTTAAAGAATGTTCAACATGTCTCTCCCGCTCTAGGCATGTATTCGGGTGAAGTTGTGTGTGTGTGTGTGTGCAGATGTTTCTCTACATGCGTATAAATAAATAAATAGGTAAACAAATAAATAAATAAATAAATAAAGAGAGAGAGAGAGAGAGATATATATATATATATACATACACATGTAGATAGATACACATTTACATAAGGTACATGCACCGAAGCCGCAGGCAAGAAACCCGCAGCTGTGAACGCTAGCGACTGCCGTTATCGACCATAAAGCTTACCCTACCAGCCTGACAAACTCCAAACCCTAGCACCCTGACACTGAGGTGCCCACCGGTCATATCCCCCGAATACTAGCCTGCAGCTGCTTCTATCCTTGACCCAAGTAATTGCCTGCTTGATGGGTGCTTGCACCCGTCGCAAACGTAATACTCCCGCAACCCTAGTTCCTAATCCCCAGGCCAAAACCTCAAATCCTAGACTCCCAGACCCTAAGCCTTACAAACCTTAATCCCTAAAGACCCGAAACCCCATACACCCTCAACCACACATTACATCCTAAACTAAACCCTCAAACCCCCAATCCCCGAAGCTCTAGCTCACATGAGCTTCTCGTTGCATCCTGCTCAGCCGCTCCGAAAATAGGCTCGAACATGGCAAGACACACAGCTGTCCTGACTACAACTTTTCAGGCCTTAGAGAGTTTGTTTTGAGTTTGTTGTAGGGTTGTAAAGGGCTTCATAGAATTTTGCTAAGAGGTTTACAATTTAGGGTTTAGGGTTGGCAGAGCTGCTGCACACATGTGCGCACAATGGCGTCGCATGCCGGGAAAACAACCAAACGGACAAACCCGAGTCGAACTTAGAAGAAGACACCACCAGCAGCAACAGCACCAGAATCAGCAGCACCATCACCACCACCAATGACACAAACAGCACAAACAGCACAACACGCAACAACAGAAACAGCAGAATCCAGCAAGAAGCACAACAAAGCAAACACGTCCCACGAAGTTGGCTGCGCCAGCACGTAGCTTGCATCTGCTGTAGTATCCCCAGCTGAGCTTCGCAATGCTCCGTACCTACTTGACCTCCACCCCGGTGCTGGAGGGGACCCGGCTCCGCTTCGCCGTGTCGGTGACGGATGAGATGTTTATGAGCACCGGCTGTCCAGAGTAATGTTCTCGCTTTGAGGCTGGCGCAAGGCCTGCAAATTGAAAGCGACCGACGCAATCCCTAAGCGACCGAACCCAACCCTAAACCCTAGATCCCTGAATCCCTAAACCCTAAACCCCTAAATAAACCCCTAAACCCCTAAATCCCTAAATCCCTAAACCCTAAACCCTAAACCCTAAAGCCTAAGTTCGAGGCCAAGCACCTTTAGCAACACCGCAAAGACCAACTGAGGCCTCTACCGGGTGACTTCTCTTTGGACCTGAGCCTTAGAGATAGCAAGGCCGGACAAGAAAGCGGGGTGTGGGCTTCAGGGTTTAGGGTTTAGGGTTTTTGGTTTTGGAGTTTAGGGTTTAGGGTTAAGGCTTTGGAGTTTACGGTTTAGGGTTTTGGGCTTTGCAGTTTAGGGTTTAGGCTTTGGTGTTCAAGGGGGGAGTCAAAGCATCATTGATGGTCCTGTGCAAAAGCAGGGTCTGCTTTTGGATTCAGGGCCATGAGCCATCGTCGAGACTTCGTTTTTTTTTGGGTTCAGGGTTTAGGTGTTTAGAGTTTCGGGTTTAGGGTTTAGGCTTTTGGGTCTAGGGTTTGGGTGTTCAGTGTTTAGGATGTCGGCATTTTGGATTTCTGATTTGGCTTGGAGGTTTCAAGGGCTACCCGAGCCCCCAGCACCGGAAGCCTCGGATAAACCCTGCACGCGAATTGAGTGTTTGCAGGCTGGTCCTACCAAGGTGACTCGCATGCCCCAAACATAGGGGTCACTATAACGAGTACTTGCAAGAGGATCCCCTTATACTCCATCTACGAACACAATTTAATGTAGCTACGTTTAGCATAAGAAAGCATCATCAATGTTTAAGGCCTATCTATCAAATCCGTACAGCATCCTGAGCCCTGTACCCCCTTCTATAAAAAGGCCCTAACAGAGACCAAGCCCCATATGTCCTAAACCCAAAGGGCACGCGGCTGGCTGGCCTACGGGACGTGCAAGTGACCAGCTTCCGTATCTGTGATGGGCTGGAGCTGGCCATTGACTGTGCCGTGCCGGAGTCCGTAGTCGGGCAGGCCGCGGAGGGTCGAAAAGCACCGGTAAGGACTACCAGAGTCGGTTGGTTTTCGGTTTTCGGGTAAAGATGCCGGACAAGCGGAACTCTGGGTGCTGAGATGTGCGCAAGAGTTTTGGGCATAGATTGCGCTTGAGCCCAGAACCAGCCCTGAGCTCCACATAGGGGCCTAAATAATTACCTATACTATTCTGGGGTTCCGTATGGTTCCTTATTCTACTTATTATAATATACCCCAAAACCCCACTCTGATTATTAAGGCCCTTATATTAGTGAGCAGACAAGGATGCTTGCCTTCTGGTTGCCGCGCAGACGGAGAGAGACAGCGAAACTGGGACTGGCAGCCGAGCCCGGTCAAGGTCCCCAGCTCGTTGCTCCCTTACTGATCTTCGGAATTAGGTTTTGCTTTTCTTATAATCTAACTCCAGGGGATAAATAAGAACAGAATGTTTATTCTGGTTCTAAGGGCTGCTAAGGCTCCAAGTGCAGGGTCCAGGCATCAGGAAGCTGCAATGACAGAGCGCTTCCGGAAGCACAGCGGCTAGGCGACATTTGGGCAGTTCATGCAGAGGCACTGCATGGCGATGCGGTTCTGTCCTGCGAATATCCGCTGTCGAGCCGAGAGGACGAGCACTGTTTTCGCTGCTTTGCATTGGGATCCCATCTCCTCCGCATAAGGGAGGAGATCTCCAGTGCCGATATGCCCACAGGGGGACGTCTCTGGGATGCTGGTGTAGTCCTGGCTCACTGGCTCGCGAGCTTGGGGCCAAACGCCGCAGAACTGCGGGGAAAGGCCGGAAGGGGGGGGGCGCACAGGATGCCTGAAGCCCTTGGCCTCTACGTAATCTAGGGGGCCTTAACACTTAGAATAGGGTTTCGGGGTAGATTATACTATAACTACAATAAGGAACCCCCAAAGTAGTATAGGTAATGTTTAGGCCCATACATTGCAGGCCGTCCTCGAGCTTGGAAGTGGCTGTGGGCTGCCCGGCATCGTGGCCGCAAATCTCTTCGCTTCGAGGACGGTCTTCACGGACAGGCAGCCGGTTCTGCAGCTGGTGAAGCAAAATGTCGCGACGAACTGCCCGAATCAGAACACCAAAGTCCTGGAGCTGGATTGGGTGAGGAGGGAGCACTGGCAGCAAGTCAAGAGCCAGTGTGGGGATGCCTTCGACATCATTTTGATGTCAGACTTGCTCTATACATCAACGGCTGCCTCGAAGGTAAAGGACACCCTGCTCTTCTTCTCGAAGCCTGGAGACTCGGAAAGAGAAGTACAAGGTCTCAAGGTTTAGGGTTGAAGTTTCTGAGAAAGCTGAAAGTTGGGGTTGTGGTATAAGTACCAGAGACAGCCATGAAAGTCAATGAAGAGGCCTAAATCATACGATTTCGGGATTCCTCATCCCAAAGCCCTACCCTAAACCCTAAACCCTAAGCCCTAAACCCAAAGCCCTCTTCTGACTATGGAGGCCCCCTTCAATTGGAGTTCTAGTTTTCGAGCTCCCGAAGTCCCAGGAACGATGGTTTTCCTGGCGCACAAGCCCCGCATGGAGTCCTTCCCCGGCTCTGAGAGCCAGGAGTACAGCTTTGGGTTTTTGGGTTTAGGGTTTGGAGTTTTGGGTTTAGGGTTTTGGTTTTGGGTTTAGGGTTTGGGGCGTTTAGGGTTTCGGGTTTAGGGTTTTAGGGTTTCAGGGTTTAGGGTTTTGGGTTTAGGGCCGTTTAGGGATTTGGGCCAGGAGCCCTTCAACCCGCTGGCGCTGGAGTCCACCCTAGGCCCATGGTTCGAATCCACCCGTGTCTTGGTTTTATAATATGCTTAAAAGGCTTTTATGTCATAGGATATGATATTTTTATAACATACTAAGTATAGAGGACCATAATAAAACATTCTATAGTATGGTATGAGATTTTTTGATATAGTCATAGTATTGATGCCGTGACGTTGCGCAGTGATGAATGAAGAGGTCCGCTGCCAAGCCGAGATGATCCCATGCAATGAAGGTTTAGTACTTTTGATGATATAAATCCTGCATTACCTTAAAGACCCTAAACTGGGAATTATGGTATATTCCTGATTATGGGTAATGCAGGATTTATATCATAAGCCGTATTTAGGGTTTAGGGTTTATGGCTTTGGGCTTTGATCCCCAGCTCCGGCAGGGCACCCTACGAGCCCAATAGCCCTATCATAGCACGAAGACATAGAAGTTTGGGACTCAAGGACGAACCTGGGTTTAGGGTTTAGGGTTTAGGGTTTAGGGTGTCAGTTTCTGTCGTTTCTACCATATCGATGGTTCTTTCACGATTGTTCTACTCGAACCGCAAGATGCTGCTCTTGTGTTTTACTGTCATTCATACGCGAGTTCCAGACGGAGAATCGCAGTGCAGAGCCCGACATAGCAGCAAAATCCTCAAGGAGTGTATCTAACCCCTAAGCCCGAAACCCAAAACCCTAAACCCTAATCCCTGCTCCCTGAATCCGAACCCTCAAGCCCAAAACCCCAAAACCCAAACTCTGAAAGGAAGCCTTAGAGGAAGCCTTCCGGGAACTTTGAGAAACTCTACACCGTCTTCGTCTTGTTATTATGTTTATTATGATCATTGTTGTTTGTGTTCGGTTCTTCATGTTTGATTATCATCACTGTTATTTCTAGTTTCGGTCTTACTACGATTATTCCTACTATTTTCTAAGACTGCTAGTATTGGCTAGTCTCAGGCATCCTCAGCTTCGGCATGGAGCACTGCCCGATCCACCTCTTCCGCATGACCCGGTGGAAGTCCTGAAAAAAAGAGAGCAGAGGACAAAATCCTCTGAAAGGCTTTTGCAGTTCAGGGGCGTAGGGTTCAGGGACTACGCCTCAGGATTGAACTCTTCAGCCCTTCCCCCTGTATCTTCTGGAAGCTGAGTCCGCTAGGGAGATGGCTGCCAGGATCGAGCCTAAACCCTATGGCTTTAGGGTTTAGGGTTTAGGGTTTAGGACCCTAAACCCCTAAACCCCCAAGCCCCTAAACCCCTCAACACCTCTGAGATGGGACCTTTCAGTCTGCGAGTTAGGCCACCCTGAAGTTAACTGAGTCTTGACATGGTACATCCGTCTGCATCATGTTGGGCAAGAAAATGGCCAAGAGTAGTAATGTAGGGGCCTTATTATAATTACCGTGCAATTTCAGTATGTTATACCCCCAAACCCTATTATACTTCGTAGGTTCAGGGTTTCTGGTTGGAGCTCTGCTTCGTCGCGTCTGCATCTCGTCTCACACCATCACAACACCCCCCCAAATCCCCTAAACTCCGAAGCACGAATTCCTAAATCCTTACCCTACGAATTCCTACATCCTAGCCCTACGAATTCCTAAATCCGAACCCCACACCCTGAACCCCGAAACCCTGGGAAAAGCGAAGAAATGTTCCCCAAGGCCTTCGCCAGACCAGGGCGAGCTGGAGAAGCGCTTCAAGCGCGTCTTGAGTTGATCCGAGGTGCTTTGCCCGGGTTGCTGTTCTTTTGGAGTTTTGGGAGGGGGGGGGGGAGGGGTGGGAAGGGGGGGTGGTGAGGGTACGTGGATTGTTGCGAGAGGGTTTGACGTCAAATAACCGCCAGTGGCACGAGCCTGTCCGAATATAGGGGTGTTAGTACTTGGAATAGGTTTTGGCGCCCATTGTACTATAATCATAAAAAGCAGCCCCCAAAATAATATTTGTATTCTTTTAGGCCCTATCTTACTTGCAAAGCTGACGATTTGCAGGGTAGCCAGATATACAGCTTCAGGTCGCGAGTTTACTGTGGGGATAGTTGGCTGAAAGCTTCGTTCACGTGTTTAGCCGCATGTTCTCGTGGATGTTGCGGGAGCAATGATGCATAGGTCGTCAGTCTGGATCTCCCCATAGCCCTGCCACAGATCACACGATGAGGGTTTAGGGTTTCGAAAGCCTAAACCCCAAACTTGGGCAACTTTCCAACTGAGGTTCTGCCCACGATGCAAGCAGCGGCAGCAGCAGCATGCGTAGGTGGAGTCTCGCGGCTCTGCGACGGAAGCCCGTCGAAACCCAAGGTTTAGGGTTTAGGGTTCCAAGAACCGACAGCCTTGCATGCTGCCGGGCACCGTCTTGCAGATGGCTTGCACGTGCCCCGGTAATAGCCCGGTGCATCCGTCGTCGGACTCTGAGGACCCCAAGAAGCTTTCCAAAACTCAGATCTACAAGCCATGGCACTAAAACTTGGTGGTTGTCGTCAGCTCGGAGGCTATCTATCCAATTATCTATGAGTCTATGTCTCTGTCTATCTATCTACCTATCTATCTATCTATCTATCTATCTGTCCATCTATCTAACTATCTGCCTATCTATCTATGTGTCTATGTATCTGTTCTTCTGTTTATCTAATGAATATGTGTACATATTAAAATGCCCACATGCATATACATACATTATCTCCGTCCTACCTCTATCTTATATTCAAAATATCTTTATGTTGTTGCCTTGTGTGTCATCGTATGTTTCAGATCATATTGTATTTGTTAGTGTAACTATCTTATTTTGCCTTATGTCACATTATCTTATCTTGTCCCGTATTGCCTTATCTTCATCGTAGCTTGTGTTAGCTAAGCTTGTCTTGCCACGTTTTGTGTTATGTAACCTTTTCAGTCTAGCCGAATTTAACCTAGTCGGTTGATTGCGAATGGAATCTAGTTCCATCTCGTCTAATCTCACTGATCTCTTCTAACCCAACCTAACCAGGTCTGCATATGCAGTTCCACGATAATGTACGCATGCATGCAGGTGTGCATGCATGCATGCATATGTACATGTGCGTGTATGTATGTACGTATGTTGTATGTATGTATGCATGCATGTATGCAACGTATGCATAAGTGCATAGTATATGTATAACCTTAAAAAAGCCCTGAGGCCAGGGGACTCTCGGCGTTGGGCTTTGGGCGGACCTTGCCCACGTTAAACGGCAAGTAAAGCATTGATGTAGACCGTAGACCCGAATTGATAAACCATCTGATCCCCTGTGTGTATTTATAATAGTTGTATTTATACATGTGTGTATACAAATATATATATATATATATATATACACATACATATATATGCACGCCATACATACATCTGCAACGGACCTCCCATTATGACCACTGTTCGAGGGATGGACTTAGATTTACAACGACCTCCGACGCAGCCCTGCGCATACCGCAAGCCAATCGGAAACCTGAGCATTTGCACACTCTACGTCCCTAAACCCTAAACCCTAAACCCTAAACCCTAAACCCTAAACCCTAGTTATGTCTAGTGGATCTTGAGGTCCTTTGTGCATGAGCCTGCATGTGCAGAAAAAGCGTTTATGGTGGCTTTCCCGAGCATTGACATCCGGTTCTTCCATCCGAATCTTTGCAGTCCGACATTCTGTTGCAATCTTCAGACGGCGTCTAACAGTGCAGGGTTTAGGGTTTAGGGGTTAGGGGTTTAGGGCTTAGGGCCCCCCCCAACATTCTATACAATCGTCAGACGGCGTCTATCAGCTCCCTCACAACTAGCAACAACACTTCTTCATATGTCCGATATAGAGACAGCCGAAAACCCTACACCCAAAGCCCTATAGAACCCCCACACCAGTTTCCAGAGCTTGCACTCCAAATTAATCTAGCAGCCTTGATAGTTTGAATAGGGTTTGGGGGCCCATCATACTATAGTTCTAATAAAGAACCCCCCAAAACCCTATTCTAATTATTAAGGCCCCTAAACCTAATAACCCTTATGGTAGCCCTTATAGCAACCCTTTCAGGAACCCTTTAAAGGAACCCCCCAAAGCCCTATTCCAATTATTAAGGCCCCTACATTACTCTGTCCCACGCCCCTGGAGGGAACTTTTGCAGGAACTTGCGCTACCTGGAATCCTACAGTCCTTCTGTGTTCAGCTTTGAAAAGCCCTAAACCCTAAACCCTACAGACCCTAAACCCTATAGACCCTAAACCGTAAACCCTAGACCCTGGACCCTAAACCCTAAACCCTAAACCGGAAAGTCCTGAGCTGCATAAAGCACCGAAAGCCCTCAAGCGAGCCTTCATCAAGAAGATCTTCCGGTCCCAACCTCAGTGTCGTGCCATGACCATTATTACTTTTCCTGTTGTGATTGAAACAAAAGTCATTATTGTTATTTCTATTATCATCAGTGTTGGTACTATTAGTATTAGCATTCGTATTAGTATTGGTACTGGTAGTAGTATCATTATTGTTATTATCACTAAAACTATTTTTATTGTCATTACTACCATGAGTACTAGCAACTCATAGGCGAGATGTAAACAACAACTTCCCGAGAGCGACCAAAGCATCAGGGTTCTGCTTCTGTGTAGCAAGACATGCCAATGCACGTTTTGAGACAGCGGGGTCCAGAAATAGCTAAAGCCGGTGGTGGTAGTTTCGCTAGCAAGCAAGCAAGCAAGCATGCAAGCATGCAAGCCTAAGCCGTGCAAGCTCGCTTCAAGATGACATCCTTCCAGAAACAGCAGAACGGGTATGGATCGTTGCACAACTCCTGATACAGACATGGTGGTTGCAACCCCCCATTACCCTATATATATATATATATATATATATATATATATATATATAGCCCCCCGTTCACTGTTTTAGC